ATGCGCAGCAGAAAGGGAATTACAAGGCCCTCGTGTCGAGGGGCCCAGTGTATTCTTCAGATCCTTGGCCCAGCTATTATCTCGTTAATTTTATCCTCTTTTGTCAATACAGTTCATTTCCAAAGGCCGTCCTTTCCATTAGGGTAACAATTCCACGGAGAGCTGGGATCCCACCGCCGATGAAAAGCGGTGGGCGTTCGGCTCCGTGCCCTCACCGGTGGCTTTTCCCTGCCACCACCAGCTTGGATGTCACTAAGAGGGAGGGGGACACACACAGTGGTGGCTGTGTTGGGGCCACACAAGCACTTGGGAGCAACAACTTGGATTCAGAGGGAAATAAAGGGTTCCTGTAGGTGAAGTTTAAGGGAAGTTTGGGAAGTTGAGTTCCCTTCCCGCTCTTCTGTGTGGACTCAGTTTTTCCATATAAAGCATAACTTGCCTTAAATTTTAAACCTCTTAAGGCTCCTATAATATAATTAATGTCCTGCCTAATATAATAAATAATAAATACAGTAAATATTCTAATAAGTATTACTTTATATATATAAAAGGATGAGGAGACATCGCTGCTTGGACATTTGCACTGTCCACAAGTTGGAAATGGAGGTAGCCAAGCCTCCAGTGAGTTCAAACTGAGCTCCTGGTTGGGACTCCCTATCCCTGGAAGTGTTCAAGGTTGAATGGGGCTTGGAGTGACCTGTTCTACTGGAAGGTGGCCCTGCCCATGGAGGGGGATTGGAACTTGGTTTCCAGCTGATTTTGAAGATGCCTTTCAACCCAAAGAATTCTGTGATGATTCCATGGCTTCAGTTTGGTGACCCTTGGGGCTTCGGCAGCCTGAGCAGATGTTCTGCAGAAGCTTTGCTTGAAGACCACCCAGAGGTCACTTGTCTCCTCAAAAATACAACTTTAAATTAGAGGAGGTTCAGCCCCACTCCCTTTGGGGAATGAGATGAGTTTTGATGTTGTTCGTCAAAATCCTTGAAAAAAATCATAGATTTGTGGAATGGATTGGAAGGAACCTTAACAATCATCCTGTTCCAACTCCCTGCCTCAGTGGGGATGTTCGGATGCTGCGTCTGCATTTGGAGGCTCCCTCAGTTTGGAGCTTGGCCATCCCTAAGGAATTCTAAAGATGAGAGAGGTGTGTGACCACTTTGGTGATCTGAGAGCAGGAAGGCAGGAAAATAAATATCCTGAGGATTTGAGGGATTCAACCAACTGGGTGTTAAAATGGCTTAAACCAGTGAGTCAGGCCTAGGGGGTGTGAGCAGCCCCTGGGGCTGTGCAGTGTTTGGGTGGGTTGAATTTTATTGACATTGCAGCCAAAAAAGATTTAATTTAATGTATTAGCTCATATATGTGTGTCTATGTGATAATATAATGTATTAGGGCATACATGTAAATTTATATTCAATAGATATTGAATGTATCTCTAAAGATATAGAATATTTTTATCTATATGAATATATCTACATATAATATATAGATATAATTATATAGATACAATATCTATTTAAATACATATATCTATTTAAATATGTTTATCCTTTATGTATATATATATGTCTGCATGTAGTTTGTATATATCTATAGTGTATCTATAGATCTATAGATCTGTATATCTGTGTATCCATGCCCTGATTGCTTCCACAGCTGTGCCACATCCCAACCTTTCCCTACAAACCAGAGTGTGGAATGTTGGATGAAACCCTGACTTCTTCCCTCCTCTCTACTAGAGTTAAGAAAAATATGAAATGTATAATATATAGAAAACAATATCTATATATTATATGTATTACCTATGTATTAGTGAACATATGTAATTCAACATATATTCTATATATTCAATAATATATGAATAATATAAAGTGCTAAGAATAAAAACAGTATCTGGGCCTCATATAAATTATCTCTAAGTATTAATAAATATATATATTGAGCATATCTAGATGTTATTGAATATATATAATTCTATATATGCGTTCAGTGCATATATTCAATAGTATCTAGAGATAATTGATGGATATAGGAGGCCCAGAGAATACAGGTGATAATATATAGATTTGTGTATGAAAGTATCAATATTTGTTATTCTATATAATATATAGATCTTGTATTTCAATACATACACTCGAGGTATATATATTCAATTATGTGTGTATCTATATGGAAATAGATGTGTGTGGATATCTCTATGTATTACCCAGAGATAACATATAGGGAATATATATGGAATTACAGAAGTCCTTAAAGGGACTGATTCAACTGGGAAAAAGGAGCCCCAAATCCGCTGGCACTACAGCCCCTGTGAATGGAGGAATGGAGCATCCTGGGATCCCCCCAGGGATGTGTCTCTGGGAGGAAGAGGAGATGGATGGAGCTGGGATGGGTCTTGTCACAATCATGGTGGTGTTTTGCAATACCTTCGTTAGAATCCCAGAATGACTTGGGTTGGAAGTTTAAAGCTCATCCAGCAGGGACACCGTGACACCTTCCAGTATCCCACGTTGCTCCAAGCCCCATCCAACTTGTCCTTGGACACTTCTAGGGATGGAGCAGCTGCAGCTTCTCTGGGAATTCCATTCCAGCACCTCACCACCCTCCCTGGGAAGAATTCTTTCCCAGTATCTTACCTAATTCTGCCCTCTGGCAGTGGGAAGCCAATTCCCTGTGTCCTGTCACTCCATCCCTTTTCCACAGTCTCTCTCCAGCTCTCCTGGAGTCCCTTTAGGCACGGACAGGTCTCCCTGGATCCTTCCCTTCTCCAGGTTGAACACCCCCAGCTCTCCCAGCCTGGCTCCAGAGCAGAGGGGCTCCAGCCCTCGGAGCATCTCCATGGCTTCCTCTGGATCTGCTCCAGCAGATCCACATCCTTATACTGCTGGGACCCCAGAGCTGGACACAGAACTCCAGATGGAATCTCAGAAAAGCAGAGTAGAGGGTGAGAATCATCTCTGTCACCCTCCCGGCTGTTTGATATTTGATATTATTTTTATTGCCCCTGCTACGGCCACATGGCCGTTCTTCAGGTCCTGCAGCCACTGCTGGATATCCTTGGCCTTGCTGGAGTTTTCTGGGATGTGCTGGGTGATCCACGAGTGACCCAAGTGTCCTTCATGCCATCACCCCCTTCACCCAACAACACCACCACCGTGACTCCTTTGCAAGTCAGTAAGATGTGATGCTCCTCTCTGGAGCAGTTCCATGAGGAAGAAACCCTGGGGGAACTAAAATGAGGAATTTATCCAATTCCCATCCCCTTCCACAAAAACTAGGCAGCAAATTTTCCGAGCTCGGTAGCCAGTGGCAACAGCCCTCCGGAATGAATAGGCTGTCACGCTCAGCATTAGGAAATGTAACTATTCCATTTTCCAGCTCTCTTTTTCTTTGGAGCACATGTTCATTTAAAGGAAATGCTCATCGGGGTTTGCATTCCGCTGATAGGATAGCGGGATCTTAATTTACGGATATTCTCCGGTAATGCGCGGTTTATATACGTTCTGCTAATAGCATTATGAGCATAGTTTGGGCTAATACAAAATTAGAGCTCTAATTTGCATAAACAAATTACTGTTTGGATTAGCGCTAAATGAGGAAGGCGACTGATATTGGAGGAGATTTGATTTGGCTGCAGTGGCTCTGTTTGGATAATGGGGGATGGATAGGAATGAGCTGGGAGGCTGCGTTGCGGATTGGGAGGGGTGGGATGATGCAGGAGGTATCAGGTCATGGAGTGGACAAGATTTTGGGTGATAGAGGAGCCTCTCTGGGACATGTGGCAAGGTGGGGGTTGGCCTCTTTTCCCTGTCAACCAGCAATAGGATGAGAGGAAATGGCCTCAAGCTGTGCCAGGGGAGGTTCAGGTTGGGCATCAGAAGGAATTTTTTCATGGAAAGGGTTGTTAAACATTGGGATGAGCTGTCCAGCGAGGTGGAACAGAGTCCCCATCCCTGGAGGTGCTCAAGGAATTCCTGGATGTGGCAGTCAGTGCTCTGGTCTAATTGACAAAGTGGTGATCGGTCGGTCACATGTTGGAGTTCATGGCCTTGGAGGTCTTTTCAGACCTAAAAGATTTGGGGATTCTCTGACATTTATCCCTCAGGTGTCACTTCAGAACTTACTGGGGCCTTCAGAATAACGTTATGGGCAACAGTAACTGGATTGTGATTCCTGATCCGTTTCCATCCCACTGACTCAATACTGGGTTTGTGAATTTAGGGAGAGTTGAGGAGGTGGGAACAGGTCCCCAGCCCCACCCACTAGACCCTGCTGAGGTCCAGCATCAGCTCCAGGTGACTGATGTGGGATAGAAATGCTCTTGGGTGATTTATCCCATGCACGGATTGAGGAAAATCCTTCCAAGAGCCAAATTTGGGGTCAGAATATAAATATTAAAGTTGTGGTATCTGATTCATAACAGGAATAATGATAGCAAAGATACAGACTCATGGAATGTTTCGGTTGGAAAGGACCATAAAGACCATCTAGTTCCAAATCCCTGCCATGGACAGGGATGCCACCCACTGGATCAGGTTGCTCAGAGTCCCAACCCACCTGGCTTTGATGTACTTCCAGGGATGTCAAAGTTTGTAGAGCTCCATAAAACTTGGCTAAGCTCAGTGAAGGTCTCATCTTGCTGATTCTCTCATGGGATTGCATCCACGTTTCCTTGTTTCTTCTGGGAATAGAGGTGCAAGCAAGCATGGGAGAAGTTGGGGGAGAGTCCCTGAAGGTAATTTTTTTGGTATTAGTCATGAGGAATCAGAGCTTTTCCTCTGTCAACAGGAAGAACATCCCTGCTTCTTCCATACATCTCCTTAATTCTAGTGGGAACTGTCCCTGCTCTTGGGAATGGGGTTGAAATGAGATGATCTTGAAGGTCCCTTTGAACCCAAACCGTTCCATGATTCTCTGATCCCATGGTTCACTCATGAAGTAACACCTCTTTGTGACATGATCCCAAATTTGGGCTGACCTTGAATTTATTTTTCCTGCAGATCCCCATTGTTAAACCAGATCCGACCCTCACTCCAAGGTGACAAATCCCAGCTCGTCCAGCAGCGCTGGAGGAACAAAGGTTTCCGCTGCATCGGCGGCGTCATGTACCAGGTGTCGGCCAACAAACTCTCCAAAACTTCCAGCAGCCCTGTCCGGGCCAGGGACCTGGGCACCAAAACTCCCATCAGAGCAGGTGAGCAGGAATTTGTCCCAGTTCATGTCCAAAATCCATTGAGTTCGGTTTTTCGTTGTTTATTCCAAGCCTGTGGGTTGTGACTCATCCTCTGGCCTCATAGAATTCCAGATGTGAAGGTGGTGGACATCCCATGGTGGCAAGTGCTGTTCTTGCTTTATAGTAGCTCTGAAGGGGAAATTAAAAGTTTAGGAGAATTGGAGAAATTAAAAGTTTAGGAGAATTGAGGTTTTCTTAAGTCAGACTTAATTCAAGCTTGTGGAGATGCGCCATTAAACTTGGTTTAACAGGCAAAGTCTTGGATAACTTCAAACAGCACCACAAGGTTGAATGTGCTTGAGATGCTCATCAAATTACGTTCAATATGGACCTAAAAATTTGGGAAGATCATTCTGCAGATAACTGTGGAATGATGCCCCATTTTGATGAATTCCCAACTTTACATCATGGCTTTGATTAAATTTGTGCTTCACTTCCTCCTGTGTTTGACGTCTCAAGTGTGACTCTTTAAAAAAAGCAGATTTTAACTGTGTTTAAAGTATTTTTAAAATGTTTTGGTCTCAAATTAGGGAGAAAATATTTTTGCTCCCTAACTGATTTTTCGAGAATTTTTAGGAATAGTTAAACTGGAGAAGGTGGATCAGAGTTTGGAGACTCAGAAAAAGTAGCCATAAAACAGCTCAGAGGTTTGTAGGAAAAAATTTTGGATTTTTTCCAAGAGCTTTGCTACTGGTACTGGATCAGGATAATTGGCTGCACAAAACCAGCTCGAGGGTGGTTCTGCCTTAAGCACCATCTCTGGACATTGAAGATGTCACTAAAGACAGAAAATATCCTGCAGGAATGGAAGAAAAGGGGTGAAACCCCAGGACATGGACAGGGATGTTGTTGGATGGAGCAGGGGATGTATTTCAGGACAGAGTTGGATCACTAGGAAGAGTCCTGGGGAAAAGTGATGGCTGGAAGGACTGGAAAAGTGGAAGATCTGGAGCTGCCAGGCTAAGGAAGGATATCTCTCCATGGCCAGGTGGAGCAGCCAAAAACCAAAGGGCGTAAATTGGTGGGAGAGCTTTCCAAGGACAAGGATGATGAAATGCTGGACTCATTTGTCTCTAAAATCACCATTATTTTAAAGATTTTTTTTAAGAACAGGCCTAATGACCTTCTTCTTGGGGAGGACATGGGTGGAAAAGGTCCTGCCTCCCAGCAAGAAGGTGAATTTTTTTATTTATCCAAGTGCAAGGAAGTCTCTAAATTTGTCTGGAAAAAGACAAATGAGCAAAGTCTCATTTGGGCAACTCAGCAAAGGCTGATAGATTCGGCCTGTCCATGAATATCCATCACTGGATTGGGACCAAGCAGAGAAACACCAACTTAGAGGCAAATTTCTGCAAGAGGGATGAAGCCAAATGTATCATGGGAGGATTTCTGCTGATTCAGGCCTTGGAATTGTTTGTGGGGGGTACCTGAGGGGATTTGGGGTGAGAGGGCATGGAAGAGATGTGATTCCCTCATTTTTCCTTTCTCACTGAAACCACGTCTTCTAGTGAGGTCTCATTTAGAGAATTGGGTTTAATTAGTCCCACTTAGGAGGGATATCTGTTCCAGGGTTACTCCCTCATAAATACAGTCCCATCTAATTATTGTTTTGAAGGTGTTCTTTATTTTGCTGTTGCCCCTTTCCCCCTTCCACATAGGAAGTTGGCTTTGTAACCACAAAATCTGAGGAGCTGCTGTGAATCAGTATTTTCATGTCATCTTTCATCTCTCCCCACAATTCATCCTCCTTCCCAAGGATGGATTCCACAGATTCCTCTTGCCTTAGGATAACTGGGCCTGGCAGGGTGGAAGATTTGTGTGTTCTCATCGGCTGCGAACGTTTGCTCAACGCTCTGTGTTTTCAACACTTGACAAAGTTTATTTAAAAGATGGAAAAAAACGGCTTTTCCTTTCCCTTTCAGTGCCAGGCACCGTGTGTTTGGAATAGGGGAGAGATGGGAAATGCTCCTGACAGTTTAATAGCTTGGAGTTTACTTCCAGTGGGTTATAATTCTGCTCTTTCCCCGGATTTATAGGGTTGGGGATTTTTATCTCTACTGTACAAAATCTGATGCCAGGCACTGGGGCTGATCCATCCACACCATCGTAGCATTCCCAAGTGATTTATTGATGGATGCTGGTGGTGAGTTAGATTTGATCCTGGACTGCATTTCCTGCATCCTTGTGCTGTATTGGGATCAATCTTGAGGCTACCCGAAGCAATGGGAAGAGCAGTTTTCCATGGCTCTTCTGGAATCAGCTTTGTTGGTGCTGGAGAGGTGAGGAGGGTACATGGCTTGAGGACAAGGAAAGTGTCACTGCAGTACCAGAAAAAATTTTTGGAGGTGGTTTGAACATAAAAAATCTCCCTGGAGCAATGACAGCATCACCACGGCCTGTGCAGCTGCTGAGAACTTTGCTCTCATCCCATATGTGGCTCTGCTCCTAAAGGATTTCTGCACCTTCCACACTTGTGTCTGGAAAACTGCAATTAAAATATAGAAGTAAGAAGACATTTTTTTTTTTGTCTTTCCAGCTGGATAGGGATCTTGCATGTGGCATAATTCATTGCTCAGGCAAGGATGGAGAAGAAAACCCAGAGCTTAAACACTCTCTGCTCATCCCTGTGCAAGACAAAAATGTGGAATCACACATGGAAAGGCTCTTTCCCTTTGGGATAACTGGTATTTCAGCACCCATGTATTTTTTCACTTTGCAGAAGTCTTGGAAAATCAGCAGTGGGATGTTGTGGAAAGCATTGGCTACTTGACAATTAATTAAGCAACCAGAATAATTCAGTTTCTCCTCTCACAAGGAACTTTTCCTTCATTTCTTTCTCCAGCTGCTAAGGCATTTTCCAGGCTCTTGAGGAATTTCCATGAAATCAGGGAGAGAAGCAAAAGGTCCTGGGCGATGTAGTGTTTCACAAAGAAATACAGAAGGGGAAATACAAGATTGAAAGCAGCAGAAAGCAAATTAAGGTTTGACATTGTCCGGAAACCAGCCCTGACCCCAATCTCTGCACGAGCCGCCGCTGATGCTGAGAGAGGAATTGCACTCTGTGAGCTGGGGCTGGCTCCAGCAGGGTTTTCCAGGAGTCCAGGCTATTTTTCTATGGGCGAATCATCACCTGCATGATTTCTTCATGCTGAGGTTTTAGCTCTTGTTTGGAGCAAGGCTGATGGCTTTGGGGACTCCAGAGGTGACAGCCGGACCCTTAAACAATGTGATTTTATTTATTGAGAGTTTCAAATTGTCTCCATGACCATAGATTCCAGAGCCTTGGAGATAACCAGGAGTTTGAGCTCCCAAAGGTGGAGGCTTAAGAGGAGTTTTAAGTCCTCTCAAGCTGAGGCGTCTCCCACACATTGTGATGGTGGCTCTGATCCCAGAGAAACAAATTATTAATTAAAACGTGGCTGAGTTCAGCCTTCCAGAACTGGGAGGGACTTTCCCTGCATCTGGATGCACTTCCTATCTCCATCCTGCTGTGTAACATCCCCTCCTACCCCAGTTTCCCCTCTCTGCTGCAAAGGTGATCAGCTGGGGAGATGGAAGGTCATGGAATCATGGAACAGTTTGGGTTGGAAAGGAGCTTAAAGAATCTCATTCCAACCCCCTGCCATGGGCAGGGACACCTTCCACTATCCCAGGTTGATCCAAGCCCCACCCAATCTTGCCTTGGACACTTCAGGGATAAGACAACCACAGCTTCTCTGGGCAACATGTGCCAGTGCCTCCCCACCCTCACAGGGAAGGATTTCTTCACAGTATCCCATCTAATTCTGCCCTCTGTCAGTGGGAAGCCATTCCCTGTGTCCTGTCACTCCATCCCTTGTCCCAAGTCTCTCTCCAGCTCTCCTGGAGCCCCTTCAGGCACTGGAAGGGGCTCTCAGTTCTCCCCAGAGCCTTCTCTGCTCCAAGCTGGACATTCCTCACTCTCCCAGCCTGGCGCCATCCCTTGTAGCATCTCTGGACTCCCTCCTCCACTGCATCAGGCTGGGGACAGGTGACGGATGCTCCTGGACACAATTTGGTCTGCAGTGGGAGAATTCCACACTCCACAGAGCTGGAAGAAAGTGCTCTCTGGCCTCCCTTTTTATCAACTAATTTTGGAAGTGCTGAATGTCATGGAATCATGCTTCCAACTTTTTCAGGGATGATGAAATGCTCAGTGCTCCCGTTGGCCCAGCGCTTGTGAGAATGCTCCTTCCACTGAGCCACTCTTTTTTACAGAAGGAAAAGAGGGATTCTGGTCTGGAATGTTTCCACCATCCATCACCTGTCTCTGCTTTTAATTTTAAGAGGAATTAGGGAGGATTTGCTCCGCTGTGCCTTTGTCTTTTCCCCATGTCCATGGTAACATCCCAAACTTCCTGTTTGTTCATCATGACCCTGTCTTCTGTCTTCAACACACGTTGAGTGTGTTGGGATCATACTGGAGGGATAAGGAAGACTTTGGTGGAGGAGAGACCAGCCCAATGCACTGAGGTGTGAGAGCAGGGAAATTTGGAATGTTGTTGTCCTCAGGTTTCCACTGGCTTTGGGGTTGCTGGTGCCAAGATCCCTTTGTGCTCACTCCCTTGGAGGTGAATTCCTTGGGTTTGGGATTGCTCAGTCTGTTGCCTCTTTTTGAGCTCAATTCCTTGGCTTCTCCAGGATCAGTCCCTTGTTTTGGGATTGCTTAATCCCTCGGACACTTCAATCTCAATCTCTTGGTTTTGGGATTGCTCTGTCCCTTACCCATCTTGAATTAAATCCCTTGTCCTCTTTGGAAGTCATTCCCTTGGTTTTGGGATTGCTCAGTCCCTTACCTCTTCTGATCTCAGTTCCCTGGCTCTCTCAATCTCAGTGCTTTTTCTTTGGGATTATGGGATCCCTTGGTCCCTTTTGATCTCAGTCCCATTGCTCCTTTTTTACTCAGTCCTTTGCCTTTGGGATTCCTCAATTCTTTCCTCTTT